CTTAAGTGCTGGAGCTGGAGGTGTTTTCCGTGACCATGAAGGGCAGTGGTTGGAAAGGTTTAAGAGCAATGTGGAATGCTGCTCGATACTTCAGGCTGAAATTATAGCCATTAATCGGGGCTGGATCTGGCCATGCAGAAAGTGAGTCACATTCAGCAATAGCATTGGAATTATTGTTGAGGGGAACTGTCAGGGAAATTGCTTGGAGTACTTAATGGAGCAGTGCTAAGATTTAGTGGACAGAATTACTTCTGTTAAATTGGCCTGTATACTAAGAGAACTGAATAGTGTTGCAGCCATTTTTGCCAACCATGCGTCAACCTCTACCCAGATAAGACTTGTACTGCCTTCTCCTCCTGAAGACATTGCACTGCAACTTTGCGAGGAAATGACTATAGACTAGTTGTTTTTATCTTTTTCTTTCTTGTTTGTACTTCAAAAAAATCCATTGACTGCCCCATTTTCTCTCTCAAATAGTTTACTCTTTGGAGGGATTAGTATGGTAGTGAAGAAACACTATACCTCTAGATTAGTGGTTGGACCAGGAAAATGTTGCCTTTTCATGGTTTTGATTCTGTGTCACCTAACTTTCATTCAGTTCTTGAATTTTGAATTCTTGGGTGGGTTGCAAAATGAAGCATGCTTGGAGTCCTGATTCACGTTGTTTTATTACACAGCCTTCTGGGGTTGTTTTAATCAAATTCTTCTGCATCTTGGCCTTGGAAAATATTTACTCAATCTTGCTTACTTAAGATTTGCTGGTGGTTTCTTTACTGGTGTACTTCACAATCCATAGGCTTGTGTGGCTGTAACCCAGGAATTGAATTCAAAATCGATTTCTTATTTGAAATTAATTTCTCATTCATGTCAACATTATTGATACAGAATACAACTTCTTGATATGCTGAATGTTTGGTGATTTGCTAGTGGAATTAATTGGCATCATATTTCTAATTGCCATAAGTAACTATTCTTATGTCCTGCAGTGTTAATTAACTAGTATAAAGTATTTGCATAAGCTAAATATTGCACAGAAGACATCAAAGAATTTCATTTAAAGCGTAGTGTTGATGTCCCTGCATTTTAAAGTCTTTTTTATTACTCTATACATGTATTTAAAATCTGGAACAAATATTAGTTTTTTCTTTTTCTTCTTCTAATTACTTGTTCCTACTTTTGAAGTAAATAACGTTGCTTCAGTTTTACAGGGGAAGGAAACATCTGATCTGGATAATGGCCGACAATGCCCATTCTTTGAGGAACTGCATGCAGTATTCATTGAAAGGGCTAAGAGCATGCAGCGTTTACTTGTTGGCTCGGGGGTAGGTTGTGACCAGGCAAAGAAGAAGATGAAGAGAATTAGTGGAGATAGATCCTCAGATGAATTCTCTGAGGAGGATGATGATAATGATGACGAAAGTGAGGCTGCTAGGAGCAAAGTGCGGAAGAGGAAGGCTGAGAGAAATGTACTCGAGAAGTCATCGAAGGCTGTAAATGCTGGTAATGCAAGTAGTAACGTCAGTAGTGATATTCATGAAATGCTGAAGGAATTCTTTCAACAGCAGCAGAGGATGGAGATGCAATGGAGAGAGATGATGGAGAGGCGTGCCTTAGAGCGGCAATTGTTTGAACAGGAATGGCGACAGTCAATGGAGAAGCTTGAGAAGGAGAGACTAATGGTTGAGCTGGCTTGGAGAGAGAAAGAGGAACAGAGGAGAATGAGAGAAGAGAGTCGAGCTGAGAGGAGAGATGCCCTATTGACCACTCTCTTGAACAAACTTATCAATGAAAACTAAAATCACAATCCTGTGCATAAATGTAGAAACTTTGATTTTTCATAAGGAAAAAATATACTGAATGATGGTAAGGAAAAAAAGAAAAGAAAAGAAAAAGGGAGTAAAATTCAGGAAATATGTGTGCGAATGCTGTATATTTGATCTACGATTGGTTAGTGTATCAGATCTTATATTTGTTGAGTTTACATAGACAATTAAATTTGAAGTGATTCAGGATCAAAAGATGCGAAATTGGTATACTTAGAGAAAAAGAAAAATAAATTGATTTTGTTTTGGTAAATTAAAAAAATGTATATGTGTTTTTATTTTTATTAGCAATGATGTTTATAATTAAATAAAAATATTATATTATTTATGGATAAACGTTAATAAAAAATGAAAAAGTAAGACAAAAAATCCCAATTTTTTATTTTAAAAAATCAAATTAGATTTAAACATTAAAATTTTATGGAGTCAGATTTTGTCATCTGTGTTGCCTAGATTGTAACACAAATGTAGTTTTCAACACGAGTTCCAGGATCTTCATATAATGCTAGAATCATCTTGAGGTTACTTCAATCAAAGAGCAACTCATGTGGTTTTTTTACTTGAATCAAGTTCAAAATTATGATACAATCGCGCTCCATTTTATTTATTTTGCGGGTATATTACTCCAAAAGGTTCTTCAAATCATTAATTGCTAAATTCATATCATTTAGGGCCTATGCCCATGGCTCATAGTATATATAGGTCTCCATATAATTCTCTGTTAAGATTAATTACATAAAAAAAATAAAAAGCATTTAGTTTTGTTGGATAAGGGTTTAATAGTGTTCATTCATGTGAAATCACATTACTAGCATGATATTAGACCTAATGGGCCGCACATAGAGCAAATATGGGTGTGTTTTAATGGATTGATTTGTTTAAAGCATTGAATTGAATAGATATATATAAGTTCAGTTAATTATATTTTTGAAAATTCAATAAATAAACAAGTATTGAATAGTATTTCAGAAATAAGATAATAAGTAATTAGTTAACTCACAAGATAAATATAAAACCTACCAGAGCCCATACAGTAGAGTAAACAATATTAGGACAACTTTGACATATAAAAGTCAAACTGATCGTTCTCATAGAAAAGAAAAAAATTGGTTCATTAAGTGCTCTCTCATAAAGAAAAGCTGCAAACTAGATTAGTTCATTGAGTGTTCTCAGATAAAGGAAATCTTAAAACTAGAATTTCTTGGTTATAAAAGAGAGAGAGAGAGAGAGAAGCAAATTAGTGAAGAAAGAAAGAAAAAAAAAAAAAAAGAGAAGTTTTCTTCTATCAAGATTTTAAGTGGCTTGGTGTTGGTTATTGAGTGGAAACACCTTAGAAATTTAGTTTTAATCTTTGTTACTGGAAAATCTATCTGGATTATTTAGAATGTAACATGAGAAGTGTGGACTATTTCATTAGAGGTAAGACACTTGCATTATTACAATTTTTTATCAAGAAAAAGTTTTTAATGTGATAGAAAAATGTGAAAGAAGGTGAATATTCTACATATCCAATCAATATTTTACATCATTCTAATATATTGTCTAGCCACTTGGGTAATCTCTATATTTATATAGTCATATTAAATTAAGATCCTCATTAGAAACACTAATACATGTTTAAAATATTATTATCTTTTATGTAATGCCCGTGGCATTTTTTAAATGCTTTGGGTTTTAAAATCAAATAGATGCCTAAAATTAATATCTTAGTGAAAATTCATCCTCATGTAATACTCTAAATCTAAAATCATCATACAAAGACTTTAACCTATGTTGAACTCAAAACTAAGACCAAGATAGAATTCTTATCTTACTTTTTGGGTCAAATATAATTCTTTGTCATTATTGTTAATTATACAATAAAGAACACATCAGAAAGGACTAGGTAATCCAATTTACATTGCAAAATTACTCTTAGATAATTTATTCACCTAATCAACTCTCATAACTTAAGTCAGTTGCCACATGCATATCCCCAATGGAGAAATACAAGAGCACCTCCCTATTTTGCAAAGTAATTTCTCACTTTTTTTATGTCACACGAATCTTATCACAAAGAATAGTAGTCATTGAAATATTTATATTGATTTTGATGATACAAAATATTTAGTCTATGCTAAAAAAAAAAAAAATATATGGGCTCTTGCAATGTCAAATATGGAACTATAATTAAGGATGAAACTCGGCTTAAGAAACACCAAGAAAGTGAAGAATAGAGAGCAATAAAAAGAATTTACAAGTCAATAACTTCACTTCTAATGATTTACAAAAAAAAAAAGTTCAAATGTATAGCTCAAGAAAAGTGAAAAACTTTTTGAAAATTGTTTAAATGGTATTTGGAAAAGTGTTTTTGATAGCAACGGTTACTTGTAGATTAAGATCGTTCTTTGATGATCTAGTTCAGCCAATCTTCAATCTTGGATGAACTCAACAATATTGAGCATATCAAACTCAACACCTTTGAATTACACCAAAAGAAAGAATTATGGAAATCTTCTAAGCAACCTAATCCAACCTATTTGAAACCCCCAACAACAGTAGATATATTAAACCTACCACATTTGAATCACAAAAACGTAGAAAAATTAAATTACTGTTACCCACCCCTAAATCTAATGAACCCAACAATAATAGGTATATTAAACCTATCACCCTTGAATTACAGAAGAGAAAGAAGAAAAGGCTAAGGTGCCACAACTAGGAGGAAGAATCCTAGTTGATAAACCTAATAAGTTTTGCAAGCAACTTGCATGACCAAAACTAGCTCAAAGAGACTAGCAAATTAAGAAAAATCCTTAACAAGTATGTAATTTCAATATAATTTTTACAAGTAGAATGCATCCCTATTTATAGGTCATAGGGAGTATGAAATTCAAAAGTAAATTACTTAAAATTAACTTTGGAAATAGAAACTAATAAAGAAAAAATCAAGACTAATTAATGACTTGGGATTCTAGTCTTCTTTGAATTTATTTTTCTAAGGCTGACTTCTTTTTACTCCATGCTGATTTTTCATCATCCAATGAAGAGTTTTAATGCTTTTGAAGACACCAATCTTATTCATAAATGATCAGATTCATTGATGTCCTTCAACTTCAAAGTCAAGCCATTATTGTTGGCTAGAATTGATAAAAGAGTGTAGTCTTGAATCAGCCATGCTTTTGCACTAATTTTTGGCCATATTATGGGCCAAAATGATTGTCTTGATCAACCCAATATGATCCATCAACCCTTATTGGCCCATGATCTGAATGGTCATGAAATTCACAATTCTGGACTTCGCATTGTGGGCTTTGGAGCATTCTAGTAAAAGACTTGTGCTAATCAAATTCTTCAAGACTTCTTGCATTTTCTTTCTTCTTGAACGTGTCATTGGACCAGCAATGTTGATCAAATTATCATCTTCATAAACTTGAGCTTCCTGATTAGCAACACTTGAGTTTTTGTACATTTGATCGTTATCAGTTTCCAAGAGAAAATCTTATGAAATATTTTAGAAGAACTTGAAAATTAAATTTTGATAATTTTTACCTCTAAAAATGTGACCATGCATATGCAACACAATGTGTTGATATTGTTGAAATGCGTCTAACACTAATAGAATATGAAAAGATGTAAAAAAATGATCATGTTTAAGAGCATTAAATGTTCACACTTACCGAGATATGTGTCTAACTAGTGCCTTTAAGTATTATTCACTACTTTATTTAATAGAATATTTAAACATTTTAGAAGTTTGAAAATCAAGATCATCTTCTTTTATTTTGCATGAGCGGTATATTTGAACTCTTAAGCTTCAAATTGTATATCCGCTCTATAGAGATAGAGAAAAATATTAAACTTAATTCTTTTATTCTTATATGAAAATTATAGGAAGGGAGTTAAAACTCATTTGAGCTAAATATGTTGAGAGAAACACTAATATAAAAGGTGTAGCTTGTTGACCTTGGGTAAAACAAGCCTCGTGAGGTATGTATCTTGTCAACCTCGTTTAAACCAAACGCATTGTGAGGGTTATAACCTGTCGAGCTTGTGTAAGATAACATTGTGATGGTATAGCTAGTCAATCTCGTCTAAAATAAGCAATAAGGGTTGTAACTTATTGACCACATGTAAAACAAACATTGCAATAGGTGTAGCTTATCGACCTCCTGTAAAACAAACAAGTGTAACTTAAGAGGTTAGTGAAATTTGATGAATTAAGGAGATGTTAGAGGCACGTGTTTTGTCAAACCTTTATAAATAGTGTTTGTATCTTTTTTTTTCTCACACATGTTCTAATTATTTACTTTAATTTATTTAAGTTATATTAGTATAATTGAAGTACATCAATTAAATTTGAAGTTAACATTTACAAGATTACAATATATCCGAAATTAAGTTAATCATAGTTGAAGTCTGATAATTAAAGTTAAAGACAATCTTTGCTAACTCACTTAAATGGTAACACCAACATATAAGTAACTTATTAAAGTTTAAAAGTAAAAAAACAATTGGGTTAAGCCTAAAATATTTATAAATATAACAAACTTAATTTAACCATTCTCTTGTGTTGCATTGACTATTCAAGACAACAATAGTCAACCTTCAACGTGCATATATGTCTCATCATGCTGAGTAATTTTTGGTCTCATTGATGACATACCACCATTGTAACATCCCTACCATGCTGACAAAACATGGACATATTGTACTATTTTTAACTAGTCAAATAAAAAAAATGTTAAATACATGTAAACATGTTATAGAATATAACTATACATCACTTGCAATATATTGTAATCATAGTTACAATAATATGAGGTTCAAAAGGCAAAATTTTTAAAATAACAAAATAAGACAAATACCCTTAAGTACAGATTTATCTTAAGTTTGACTTGGGTCTTTCACTTGTCCTTCACTAATTCAGAACTTGTTTCAGGTTATCTTAATCTAAAAAAAATCAATAGTAAACTTTGATGAACTTCATTTGCTCAGTAAAAATATAATATGCTATCGCTTGTAGAAACAAACTATCACATCTATAGAAAATAAAAAACATTGACGAATTACAATATTTAGAAAAATTGTTTTAATTTGTTAACTATTGGTAATTTCTATACTATATTTCTAACCTATTGTTTATTTCACTTTTGGTCTTTTCTTTTCCTATGTCTTTTAATTATGCCACTTATAAGATTTTGTTTTATTCATAT